TAAATGGAAAAAAACTTAGTTAATGCAGAGTTAAAGTTGCCTAGTGACAGACAGTTCATGCCCTTCCAAAAATCAAGTTCGGCAAAACCAGGAAATACAAAGTTAACGTAAATGCCCATGCAACCTTAGCTCTGCCCCTGCCTCCCCGGAGCTGGCAAGAGCCACTGGGAATCATCTGCGTATATTCCAGCTGCTTTCAGTGTTTTAGGTGCAGCTGTATTGAACGTTGGAGTCAGTAGATGGGGCAAGTTGGCATAGGTGTGTTTGTGATATGAGGAGACCTGGGGAGTAATTTGAGGAGTGTGTCAGAGCTATGACTGTGATATGAAGAAAACTGGGTCTGAGACTCTCCACGTGTGCAATCAAAGGAAATAGGTACATGTTTACCTTGAGGTTCCAGTCTGCAACATTTAATACAGAATTGTGTAAGTTGTGTCAGTAGCAGGGCATGGGGTCTTCTTGCCATGAGTACTGTCAGTAGAGAGGTGGCTTATAAGAGCTGTCTCTGGATTTAATGACTGGTAGGGAAAAGATGGCATCCTGGGTGCAAGTGTGAAGGGGTTGTAAAAAGTGTGATATTCTGTCAGAGGAGTAGGATCAGTGTTTGAGCATAGTGCAGGTACAAAGAAGTGCCTGTCCATTACATTGAAAGGCAGAGTGCAAGTATCTGCATTATAGATGGTTTGGGGCACCTTGCACAGAAGGCATTTACCTTAACTCGGTATTTCCTGGTTGTCAGAGGTTTGAGTTCTGCTGAACTTGACGTTTTGGAAGGTCATGAGGGGTCACCAGGCAACCTTAACTCTGTGTTAACTTAGTTATGAGTTGTCATTATGGGTTATGGGTGTCATATTAGTTATGGGTGTCATTGGCTCTCTCGCAGGACAAAGTTTTCTGTGGCCCTGCTGCCATGGTCTTGCTCCCTCACTAGCTGGGATTACGAAGGCCCCACAGGACAACACCCTTCCCCGCACCTTGCGCCTGCAAGAACCAGGTGTCACCAGCCCTGTGCCAGCACAGGAAACCCTCTGCAGCCCTGCTGTCACAGGTGTGAGAATGGGGTCATGACAGCAGGCCCGCAGAGGGCTACCTTCAGGGCTGCGGGGCCAGTGACCCTCGATCCCTGCAGGGGTAAGGTGCAGGGAAGGCTGTGGTCCTGGCAGGGCAGAGCAGAGATCCTTGGGCCAGGACTGTAAGTAGGAGGATTAACCAATCAATATGAATTGTCTAAACCAAAAAAAAATTCCAAATCTTGATTTTAAAATGGTCAGTGATCCACCATCACCCTTAGTAAATTTTCCCACTGGTTAATTACCCTCACTGACAAAATTTATGCCTTATTTCCTGTCTGAATTTGCCTGACTTCAACTTCCAGCCATTGGATCATGGTGTACCTTTCTTTGCTAAACTGAAGAGCCCACCATTAAATATTTGTTCTCCATATACATACATTAGAAAACATGTGTTGTAGTGATAAGTTAAATAGAGTGAGCTCTTTGAGTCTATCACTACAATGCATGTTTTCTAATGTATGTATATGTACATATAGACTGTAATCAAGTTACCCCTTAACCTTTTCTTTGTTAAGCTAAATAGAGCGAGCTCTTTCAGTCTATCACAATGCACATTTTCTAATCCTTTAACATTCTTGTTGCTCTTCTCTGAACTCTCCAATTTATTAACATAATTCTTGAATTGTGGGCACTAGAACTGGACACAGTATTCCAGCAGCGGTTGCACCAGTGCCAAATAAAGAGGTAAAATAACCTCTTCTCTTCTACTTGAGATTCCCCTATTTATGCATCCCAAGATTGCATCAGCTCTTTTGGCCTCAGCATTACACTAGGAACTAATGTTCAGTTGATTAACCAGCGTGACTCCCAAATCTTTTTCAGAGTTGCTGCTTCCCAAGATAGAATCCCCATCCTCTAAGTATGGCCTACATTTTTTGTTCCTAGATGTATTCATTTACTTCTAGCCATATTAAAAACACATTGTTTGCTTGTGCCCAGTTTACCAAGCAATCCAGATTGCTCTAAATCAGTGACCTGCACTCTTTATTATTTAACACTCCCCCAATTTTTGTGTTATCTGCAAACTTTATCAGTGATGATTTTAGGGTTTTCTTCCACATCACTGACAAAAATGTTAAATAGCACAGAGCCAACAGTGATCCCTGTGGTATCTCACTAGAAATCCACCTGCTTCATGATGATTCCCCACTTACAATTACATTCTGAGTCCTATCGCTTAGGGAGTTTTTAATCCATTTAATATGTCATGTTAATTTTACATCGTTCTAATTTTTTTAATCAATATGTCATGAGGTACCAAGTCAAATGCCGTACAGAAGTCTATTATGACAACCCTATTACCTTTATCAACCAAGCTTGTAGTCCCATAAAAAAAAAAAGATATCAAGTTAGTTTGACAGGATCTATTTTAAATAAACTCAAGTTGATTTTACATTAATTACATTACCTTCCTTTAAAAATTTATTATTTCGGAGAGGTGTTAAGTGACCCATCCACTTCAGTGAGATGTTCTCAGCTGAAAGAACACCCGATGGAGATAAATATAGCCTGAAACAATAGCTTTGATACGTGTGAACTGCTCGATTCATGTCAGTGGGTGCACTCATCCCCCAAACCCAGTGCTGCAGAGGCTGTGATATGCATTAAGCATGCCCATTCTCAATTCCTTATCCCAGTGTCAGCAGTGTATTCTTAGTGCATGCCCCCAAACTCCCCTCCCCTACTCTTCCATCCCAATCACTGTTGTGATAATTTGATCTACAAATTTACCCTAATTGTAAATTCTACTGTTAAAAGTGAGTTCATAAGATATCACAATAACCTATAACAACAAATGTTGATGGGAACAGCTACAATAAAATCGGAGTAAATCCAAACAGAAAGGCCTACTGATATAACTCAAGGAAAACATTTAAATCATACTTGGTAAAAACAGAAGATATGGAACTGGAAATTAACCAAAATTGGTGTGTTGTATATTAGGCCTAATTGGTGGACAAATTAATGAGGGGATCGGCTATTTCACCCATCAGTCCCTTTTTGGATCTTTAAAGAAAGAGCCTTCAGAGGGAAACCAAGAAGAATAAAAGCTATTGGAGCAAGCTTCACCATCATGACTGCCACCCCTACTGTCTCCTGGGACCAGACCTTTTTTGTCCTGATCCTGAGGGATGGCCTGACCAGACCAGAGTGGAAGCCAGATGACATCATCACTTCTACCACCCTCAGCTGCATCCCAAATACCACTGAAGATGAAACAGGATTGAACTGTAACAGAAGCAGCCATAACAGATCTAGCCAATCTCAACTAACTTCTTCTCTTTACCCGAAAAGGAAAGTTATTACCACTGAACACTGTTAAACAAGGGTTTTTTTCCTTTCAAACCTCTCTCCAACTAAAGGGAAAGGGAACAAGAAATGTAAAGTAAGGCTTTCATTTTAACAACATTTCAAATGCTTTAACCATTTTACCTTTTTACTACCTTTTAATAAAAGGTTTTTAATGGTATTTGCCATAATACTAAGCAGGCTAAGGTCTCTGTATACCAAACCCTGAACCTTGCTTAACACTGTTTAACGTTGGACAGCAACTGGGTTATGTTAACATCTTTGGGCACCTATATTCCATCTAAATTAATGCAATATCACCCTCTCCTCCCAGCAAACATTTGCTTGTGTAATTTATTTTCTTTTCAATAAACAGTTTAAGTGCCTTCTGATGTATTCAGATGACATTTTCCCACAATTAAAAAAACAAAACAACCCTTTGACAGAGGGAGACCGGAACAAGATGCCTCCTTTTTTATTTCTGCTTTCTGCTCTGGATTGGATTTGAATTCATAGTGCCACGGGTGGTACTCAGAGCCAATAACCATTACATAACATCAGAGTCACAAGATCCTATGATATAGAGGTAGTTTTCCAGATAACCTCTTTCTCTGCATATACTCAGTGTAATTCATCTTGCGCACTGCAAGAGAAGTCTTTAACTAATAATGTTTTAATTTGATTTTCCCCACAGGGCTAGTAGATGCATGTACTCCATTGGGGTAACTCTCAAGCATTTGAGATACTTGCGTGATGACCTCTTCCCCCTAGTTTGATCTCTATCTGTGAGCAAAAATTCACTCCAGAATATGTTAATGTTAAGAAAAGTCTTTTTCCCCACATGGGGCCGTATCTCAGGAACCAACAGCTCCAAATTTGGCTCACTGACCAAACCCCGCACCCACACAAGGGAGAAAATTTGAAAGCATCCCAGTAACTGTACAGATTTTGGCGCGCTTATGACAGTCAAGCTATAAACCGAAAGCTGGTCTTCAACTTAACTATTGTAGAGCTGCCGCTCCACTGCAGTAAGAAAATTAAAAGTTTCTTCTCTTCCCATTCTGTGTCTCATTGGATCAATTTGTTCATAACACACTGAGTTTTAATATTATCTGTAAGGTACACCACTGTCCATAATTAAAATCCACCTTCAAACATAAGGAATTGTTTTAGAAAGTCAACTTGATATACTCCTAATAGTGCGACCAAGTAAATTTCTCTTAGATTAAAAACGTCAGAAAAATTAATGGCTTTATTTGTGAATAGCAGATGAGAAATCTTAAAATGTTGAACCTTGCCTTGTATTGTCACACACACTAGTTACAACACCTGGAGGAAAAAAAAGAGACAAAGACAGCTCTGCATGTAGAAATTAAATTCAGGATTATTGAGTTTTTTCTCCACTTGTCTCCTCCACATAAGCATACGGTCTAGAGTGATATGGGAAGGATACAGAAAAATTATGTAAAGGCAAAAAAAACCTCTTCAGATTTAGATTTAAATATTTTGGTTGAAAATAAAAAATAATCTCAACAATAATATTTCAAAAAGCTTCTTTGAGCTATTCATTACACACGAATCAACTTCCAAAGCTGTGCATTGTTCAAACAATCTGAATTATAACATAAATATACTTACAGCATGTGCTCCTTGTATTGTCCGTATGAGATTAATTCCTTTCCATACATATATATCTCCATTAAGTGCACCAGAATGTGTCACTTCATCTCTTGCACAGGCTAGACAGAGTATAGTTTGGAGATCACCAGTCTTGCCAAAAACACCACGCTTTGGTGTCAACGAATTGCCACACAAGCTCCAGAACTGATAGATAAAACATATGGTATAAAAATGGTGTTTATTTTGCCAAAGTCCTGTGAATTTTGCAAACAATGTAATGCAGGGATCGGCAACCTTTGGCATGCAGCCCGCCAGGGTAAGCCCCCTGGTGGGCCGGGCAGGTTTGTTTACCTGCCGCGTCCGCAGGTTTGGCCAATCACAGCTCCCACTGGCTGCGGTTCACCAATCCAGGCCAATGGGGGCTGAGGGAAGCGACGCAGGCCAAGGGATGTGCTGGCTGCGCGTTCCACAGACCCCTTTGGCATAGAGCGGCAAACCGCGGACAGTGGGAGCTGCGATCGGCCGAACCTGTCAACGTGGCAGGTAAACAAACCGGCCTAGCCTGCCAGTGGAATTACCCTAGCGGGCTGTGTGCCAAAGGTTGCCGATCCCTGATGTAGTGCATGCATATCTGAGAGTGAGTGAGAGAGAAATATACTAGAGCCAAGAGACTCAAAGTATTGTATTCTTTTCATTACTCTGGTTCTCCAGAGTGCCACCTGTAGCAATTGTTTTTCAGCTAACCAAAGTGTTTTACTTCCAATAAGCATACTACATTCATATATTTGTGACCTTTTGTGTGAAAGAGTTTCCTGGTATCAGTTTTAAAATAAAGTTCAAATGTCTTTACTGACCAAACTTTCAGTGTTAGGTTCAATATTATTGCTGTTTTTGTAATTATTTAAAAGAGTTGTTTCATAATGAAATTATCTGGATTTTTTTCATTATGCAATACAGAAAATATCCTTTGTGCTTTAGTGACATCTTTTCAGACCAACAGTAGAAGTGTGATGTTCAGGAGCTAGAGCTATGATTTGCATGTTTCAGCACAAGCAGGTATATGCAAGATTCATGTTATTCAACATGGAAAATAGGAAGTGCAGTCATTACTTGAACATCTGAAGCCCTCTAAACTGCAAAATTACTCTTTTCTAGGAGGATGTTTCTTTGGCTATGTTAGTTAACATCACAATAGATCTCAACTCAAGTAGTAAGCCAATAAATAATGACGATTTCTTTTACTGAAAAGTGTGAATGAAAGAGAAAGCACACACTACATGTCAGTTAAGAGGAGATTACAGAAAGAAATTTTCAGTTTCTGTGCATTACCACAACTTGATATGTTTGGATTTGTTTGGGAGGGGTGTGAAAGGTGTTTATGTGAATAGGGACAAGTGCTGGGAGAGTTTTAATTTCAAGTTAGATATGTGAAGATTTTTAAATTCAGCCATTGGGCCAATTGGTCTATGCTACAGATTTTTTTTAAAAATATATATATATTTTGTAGTAATGCAGACAGAGCTCTGGAAGGGAGCATTTAGATAAATTGAAATAATTTTTAAAAGGACACCTGGAGAACTATCAGTAGAAGTTAGTTGCCCTATGCTTTGGGGTTTTTTTCTGTCTTTAGGGAAAAAACAAGGAAACTGGAGTGCACACATTTTCATTAAAGTGATATTGTATGCAGATCTCTCAGTTCTGAGTTTCACAGGACTGTACCACTTTTTCCCTCAAAGTCCCTTATCCCAGTTGAAGCAGAACATTTCCTATATTTAGTTTGCCATGAGCCCCCCGTTTGAGAGGGTAGCCAAACTGAGTGGCATTGTGATCTGGCATATGGAGTTGCATCGCCACTCAGGTTTGGCCTGGCCATCCCTCTGCCTGTCTATGAAGGGGCAGAAAGGCCAAACCTGAACAGTGCAGTGTCCTTCGTTAGCCATTTGAAATATTAGGAAATATGATTAAAAATGTGAACACAAAACCCGTCAACCAGCATAACTGTTAAGGGAATATTAGCAATGTTAATACATACAAACTAAGTGTAATGTTGTTAACATTGTTGTTTGAACCTTAACTTCCTCTATGGGATGAGTTCCTCAGCTGGACTACATCTTCCATTATACAACACCCACCTCCTTTCCCCTTCTCTTTTTGTGAATCCAGCCCTTTTAAAATGCCTGAAACAAAATATTTTGGGTCAAACTACATGTTTCTTTGACTGAAATAGATTTTAATTGATCTGCCAAAATGTTTCACAATTTTTGGATTTGGACCAAACCAACCTCCTGCTTTTTTTGGAATTACTAGCAAACTGAAAAATAAGTTATTTACCTAGCTCTAGTACTTATTGACCACTCCGTAACCAAAGGTCTTGGCAGGTACTAGGTCTGCAAATACAGTATCCTCAGAGCTGGAGTTATAGGATATACTATTGGCTCACTCTCTTGCTCTATCCTTCCTTTTCCTGGTATGGAATGCAGAGCAGTGGCCATACAGGCTGCCTCACCTTGTATTTTACTGAAAAATCCTGCTTTCTTTTTCTATGCACATAAATATGCAGTAGAGTGCTCAGGAACTGCTGTGCCAATTTTGTAACCCTGTGCTGAATGTCATGTAGCATTTTACTTCATTCACCGCAAACAGGTAACACAAACTGTCTCAAGAGATGATCCATCATTTTCCCAGTAGCTCTTTATACTAATTTAGACTCTTAATCATCATTTTTCTTGCTCACAACCTGTTAAAAATTCTGAATAAAGGCCATTAGTAGAAGGATTGTAGCAGTTACCTAAAAAAAGATTTTCATATTTCCAGTAGTTATTGAGAAATAACCATACACTGATTATGCAAATCCCTGCACTTGAACTCTGATTGGTTAATTATAGCAGTACAGAGATTCACATACTGTATTACCTGAGAAATAACAGTACAGTCATTGTACAGATCAGGCACCCACAAACAATATGAGAGCAGAGAATAGCATATATGAGGAAAGTAATTCCAAAGAATCTTGTCATTTCAATTGATTTAGGCAATTCCATTTAATAATATAATAATTTGCATTCTCCAGTCAAATACCTAGTCAATATGAAGTCTATCCAGAGATGTAGATCATTATATAATGATTCCTAGCATGAGAAATAATTGTTGATGTTAAAAAGGAACATCATTTTTAAAAAGTCTGACCTCTTGCCTAATCAGGATGCTATTCAAAGTCTTGGGTTAGGATTTTTTATTTAAATAATGAAAGACCAAATAGCTGCAGCCTAGTTGTTAAAGATGCTTAGAATATGATTTAATTAAAACGGATTTTGTTAATTATAAGTTGCTAAAGGAAACTAATTTTTTTAAAATAAACAAATAGGTTACTTCAGCAATCTGAGCCATTTTAAATTATACAATTGTTTTTGGCAAAAGACAGGAGGCCTAATTTGCCAGTGTTGCGCTATGTATTGAAGTGGCAGAAAGTTAAGTAGTAATCAAGCTAATGGAAGTTTTTAAACTACATGATAAACAGTATGTTAAATCAAAGTTGTATGCAATCTAGCTGACACACTGAACATTTTTGCCAACAAAGCAAAAATAGTTTAATCCCCACATTCACTCTTTACAAGCAACATAATTTTCCCATCTGTCAATGATAAAAAATATTTTTTTTAAAAAAGTACTCCCAGAGATCTTTGTAAACAAATAGCTATAAGGAATTTCAATGGCCACTCCTCATTTTTTAGTCTAAATTAGGGATCAAATTGGGGCATATACAGGGATACCCATTTCCCCCAGTCACCCCCCAGCCACCAATTTGTGCTCCAGAATCTCAGCTTTTCTATTTAAAGTTGCTCCCTCAATAAATTTTGAGAAAGAAGGGTCCCTGAAGAGGAGGCAGGGTAGAAGCTTGACAGTGACCATAACTGAATGGAATAATCTCTGGTGACTATAAGACCCACTAGTTCAAAACAATGCCAGTGAATGCTTGGAAGGAGGATGGACAGACAGATGCTAAAGATGGGTGAGAAGGGTAGTAACCTAGGATCAAGATCAGTATGGGCTTTTAAGATGACCACCTCACTTGCTGCTTATTGGTGGACATAGAAGGTATTTGAACAGGAGAAGGATGAGCCCCATTGTGTGAGAAGGGTTTATTCACCTTGTGCAGTAACTGTGGTTCTTTGAGATGTGTCCCCCTATGGGTGCTCCACTGTAGATGTATCCGCATCCTTGCGCCTCAGATTGGAGATTTCAGCTAGCAGTGTCCATTCGGCCTGCACATGTGCTCTCCCTGTCTCATGCCTTGCCTCAAGGCTATCCAGTGCTGCACAAGTTAACCACCCTAAGTGTCTTCTCTATTGCACAGCCTCTTATTAAGAGCTCACAAACAGAAGGGAAGGCTGTGAAGCACCCATAGGGGCACAGATCTCAAAGAACCACAGCAACTGTGTAAGATGAGTAACCGCTTCTTCTTTGAGTAGTGTCCCTATGGGTGTTCCACTGTAGGTGACTGTACAGCAGGACCCCGATGGAGCTTTGGAGTCAAGTCTAATATTGATGCCAATATAGTGTAGCCAAACATGGTATCTGATGCTGAGTCATGAGTGACTGCACAATGTTCTGCAAAAGTTGCTGCTCTGCATATATTTTTGATGGGAACGTTTTTGACAGAAGTGGAAACAGATCTCGTAGAATGAATATGAACTCCAGATGGAGGTTGAAGATTGTGAGTACAATAGCAATAGTAATGAAGTTCAATATCCCTCTAGAGAGTCTTTGTTTCAAAACTGAGGATCCTTTAGACCCCTCTGCAATGGAAAGGAATAGGAGATTTTCTGAAAATTTTTGTTATATCCAAATAGAATGCCAATGCTCTCCTGATGTCAAGTATATGCAATATTGCTTCTCTCTTGTCATGGTGTGGCTTTGGGAAGAAGGTTGGGAGGTGAATAAGTTGGTTTATGGAGAAAGCAGAGGATATTTTCATGAGGAACTTGGAGTGTGGTCTCAGTGCAACCTGATCTCTTAAAACACCACTACCACCATGGCTGGTTGTGCCATTAGAGTGCCTATTTCCCCATTTCTTGAAGCCAAGGTGATGGCTACTAGGAATGCTGTTTTCACAGATAGCTGTGTAACTGAGAATATGGCCAGGGGTTCAAAAGGAGACTTTGTAAGACAGTTAAGGTCCAGGTTAAAAATTTCATGTTGGTGTC